AACACTTCATTTTTATTCCATGGTGCAGGGAAATGTTAAAGGATTGTCGAGGATAAACAAGATAAAAACTCACATCTTCATCAATCTTGTAACAAAATGGCGACGCGTTCAGACAACACTAGTACCCAGGCCTCGGTGCGTTTTCCAAAGTGATCAAAATGGCGGCAAATACAAAGCGTCATGCAAGTGCCTGCTCCACTTAAATATAAAATCACGGTTCTTCACGTCGCTATAATGAGGTATTTAGTTTTTTTTATGATACTTTTCTAAACGGACTCTGAATCAGCCCTTGTTGGAGTCTGTTGTTAATTTTATGGCAGTTCTTTGATTTCTGTTGCTTTTTAGTTTTTTTGAGTGAGGGGGCTCACAAAATACTGATATACTTGTGATCGGGATCAAGTTTTAGGAGATAGATCACAAAGCAAGATCATCTATTTATGGCGTGATTGCTGCTAGGAAGAAATTAAACTCACTTTTAAAAGCTATAAAAGTCAACTTGCTGACACGAACTTTAGAGGAACTATTGCCCTATTTCTTTATGACGTCACAGTATGTTTATAGCGGAAAACGATGCTCAAAAACAATGGAAATTTGGACACATTTATATTGTCTACTAAAGTAGAACTTCAATGAATCGTGTTTTGATATAGTGTCATGTATAAATGATTATTGTACATTTTATTTGAAATGCAGTCACTCTGATTCCTTCTGGTGACCATAATCCTTAGTGTTAAAACAATAGAATGTTTTGCGATGTGATGTCATAATGAACCAGGGAAATTGGTGCGCCCACTTTTTGAGTGAAAGTAGGCAATTGTTGGTCTGGTTGAACAAACATTAGTATGAATGTCTGTATGACCATGCATAATAGTATACCAGTMACTTATGCCAAAACAATTATTTGGGTGGGGTGTGTCGCACGACCCTCAAAACCGTTACCCTATCCCAGACCAATTTTTATCAGTCTGATTGTAACTTTGGGATTGGTATCTCATCTGCTGGGATTCTGATAACCAGGATTGTTTCCAAATCTGAAATCATTACATGGGATCACTTTTTGGTTGAATTTTCATCAATAAATAAATAAATAAATAAATAAATAAATAGATAATAAACTTTTAACTTTATTACAATTTAACATTGAATTGCATTTTTTTGAAAAATATAAACCTATTTCAACTTAAATCATGATGATAAATTTTTAACATTTTAAATGGTTAAAGTAGAATGATCAATACCATGATGAACTAGGAAATTTTCACCTATCCTTTGATTACAGATGGGAAAATGATCAAATACTATTCCATGCAACATATTGAAATGACTAATAATAAGAATAAATACTTTACTGTGACAATCTCATATCCACGAGTGAAATAATTCATTTTGTATGTCAGACAAACTATGGGCAATGCTAGTGCCATGGCATCATCTACTATGATGCAAGCAAGGTAATAGCCTCTCAGTGATTGACATSGTAACAATTTTGATGTGGCTATTCCATTTCARAATGATTTGTAGTAACATAAGGCAAATCTCATTTCCATCAGCTTGYATTACCATCATTTGCACTGCTATATAACCAAGCAATCAAGAAAACATTTAGACGTGCAGTTTGTTATTTTGTGATATTTCTTGGAATGGTTGTATAGCAATAAAAATGATGGTCGTAATGAATTATTATAATGTTCAATGCTATTTCAAGCTCTCTTTACATGTAATAATAATTATATATTACTTTTGTCTGAGCCCACAATAGTTTGATAAGAGACTATCATTAATAAGATTGAAATAATTAATCAAAACATAATTCTCATAGATTAACTTTTTTTAACTGTAAATTCTGACAAATATTATAAATGTAGACATCACCAATAACTTAATAAGAGTCGACAGTTAATAAATAAACTTTCTATTGAATATTTTACTTTGAATGCAGTTTTAACCTAAAAGACTGAACAAGAGTCAGGTTTTGTGTTGTGAATTTGCTTATGAATCTTATCAATGACCATATATCATAAATTTGGTCATTATTGTTTTCACTCTGACTTCTATATGGACTCTGGCCACATGCTTTTTAAATCATTTAGTGCTATGGTTATGCAAAGATGTTATTATTCAGTGTGCTTTCAATGAGGGAATGCATGTCTGTATAACTGTGYCGTTAGTTGTCAGCAAACTGTCTTTCAACATCGCTGTTCATGATCTTGATAGGTATGTCTTCCATGTTTGGCAGGACAAACATATTCTAAAATGAAAGGAGATCTCATTGTATAACAGGAAATGTATACATGTAGTACATTTAGAACTGTAATTTGAGGGTCTTTTAATATTATTTTAATATTATTCAAACTTTAATGTCTCTCTTAAACACTTGTAGTCATCAAAGACTGTGCTCAATGACGTTTGCCAGTATTAGGACGGTGTAATTTTTCTCACTATAATATGAAAATGATGATGCATTATTTAAACAAGAATTCAAATCACCTTAAATTCCTGTTTGAGTTTCCTTTCAATCCAGTCAGTAACRTGAGTTAGTTTGACTTGTCTTGCACCAAGCTTAGGACGAGCAGTAACAAAGAGCATGGGATCATCTCTGAAACCATACCTATCAATAATCATCAAAGAATTTTCAATTCTTGTTACCATCAAATAAAAACATTCAAAAACATGAAGTGATTAATTGTTTTATTGGTGACTCAATATCAAGATGGGGGAGAAAAATAATTTCAATGTTTCAATCATTCAGCTGAAGTCTATAATATTACTAACTTACCATAATCTGTTTGTTGGAGGTGGTGGGATGTTTAACGTTAGGGTTCCTTTCACTGACTGCACTTCCACTGAGAGAATTATGGGAAGATTTGAGAACTTTTCAGCTGCAGTTTTAACAATCTTAGTTTCTGCAGCTTTCTTGACCCACTTTGACTTGGCAAGCCTTTCAAGAACACCAAATAATTTCTTTCTTGTCCCTGTTGCAGCATTTGCTCTCTGTCGCAAAGGACTAGACAGCGGACTTTCAATGGGCTTCCTTTGGCTGGGTGGCGGAGAAAGACTAGGTTTCTCAGAGCAATCATCACTTGAGCTTCCCTTCTGAAGAGGACTATTTCGTCCAGAGTCTGACATATTACTGTATGAAAGTGAGTCTTGCGAGAGGCTCAATGATGAAGAACTCTCCACTTCTAGTAGATTCATCTCTTCAGCTTCAGCAATTTGCTTCTCAAGGAATCCTTCTAGTGACTTAAGTTGCATGAGCGCTTCTTGGGCATACAAGTTYTCTGATGATTCTTGGGTGGGTGAGAGCGAACCATCATCATTGAAACTCTCCTGTCGACTTGACTTCAGCTTATTGGTCAATTCATCAGGATCGGATTCTGGAGACTCAAARTCTGAGTCACTCTCTGGGGGGCTTTCAGAYGTCAACGACTGATTATCATCATCAGGATTCTGTTGGCTCTCACACTCTAATAGTTCATCTTTTTCAATGATTTCATACTTGCGTGATAGCTCTGCCATATCTAAGTCACCAGCCATTTCCTTCTCTTTGCCAAGACTCAAGAAGTAGTTCAARTAWCCATCAATGTTCAAGTGTGTTTCTACAGTGAAAACCACTCCACCGCTATAAGTAACATCAAAGTCAACCCATGTTCCCTGCTCATCAAGCACTGGTGGGGATACYTTGTTGATCAATGGGAAAGTATGACCCAAACATAAATCTGTAATGTGAATGTCWCGTATGAACTGTGGCTTGTGCACTCGACTCAACTTGTTTTGAAATCGCTGCTTGATTTTGTCTGCCCAGTACCGATCCTGCCATACATCCCAGAATACTCTAGCAAATAACATATTGACCCATGCTAACTGGACTTCATGCGAGTCCTGCTGGTCTGCATCCATATTAGGCAATAAYCTGGCCATATAGTGCGGGTAACTACATGAGTGGTTTATTGAAGTCTTGTTAGTTGATAAAATCCTTTCAAAGTTTTGGTACCATTCCTCTTTCTGCCTACCRGTTTTGGAAAATAAATACAGAACGCTAACACCATCTACTGATGACTGACTTTTCACCTTCTGGAGTGGGTTTTTGCTGGTTGATTCATCAATATTACTACTATCTCTAGAAACTTCCTTAACTTCCCCAGGTTGTCCTAGCACTAAACAAATAGGATACTTTTTGCTCCAGATTCTTCTAGCTGTGAGTGTAGGTGGTGTAAGGCAAACATAGCTGCCTGTTAGATCAAAGAAATCTTGTCTAGCAACTTGAACATCAGTTTTGTCATTAACAGACTTAATATCAATCTTCTTTCCATCAGATTTTGGGTGGGACAGTATAAGACGATTGTCTTTCAGCTCTGCATATACTAATTTTGTGTCAGATGGACTGTTTGGGTCATAGTCGTAAGATTTAAGCATCCATCCCTATAATAAACAGAACACTGGTGTTAGTATATATGATATAAATTATCTACTAAGAACTTGTGCTAAATTTAAAAAATTCAAAAGTCTGTTTAAAGGTATTAAACATTGATAAGAAATGGCACAAAAACAGTTGAAATATTTATTATGGTCTTTGACTCTGGCAAGTAAATGCAAAAAAAAAAAGAGAATCGTAACAAAGCTTAAAAAAACTGTTCTATTAAGTAAGTGGAARTACAAAAGACATCATTCTTTAGGATAGAAAATGTGTCTTGAATCCATGAGAATAATAAGCATGGTTCATTCTTCTTGGGCAATGAAAAGTCTTTAAAAAATTAATAATTCACTACATTTCTATTAAAAATTATACTAAAGGGGATAAAAAAAAACATTCCTTTTAGCAAACGAAAATTGTAATGGAAAATGAATTKCATTTAAATTATATACTGAATTATTTAATACAACACTGATCAATTATAATCTTTGTTAGCCAGACGCACAGAACCAGGATYATTTTCCTCACAACATATGTTCCAAATAACCAATGAAAACTCCAGAGCATGACGTAAAATGCAGATTCCCATCATATCAATCTTAAGTGGTTAAAATGACAGATGGTAAAAACAGATGGACGATCGATCAAAGTGTCGCCTTGTTCGCCAATTTTCTATTCGAACCATTTCTTTTCAGCKTTCTATTCAACAAAAGAMGCGCCGGTGCACAGTTTGCGCTGAAAGAAATTTGGCGCGAAAAATTAAAGCACCCCAAACAAGCATGTTTAATTCATCATTGCGAGGTGAAAACATTTCRAAAATCAAAAAAACATAGAGAAGCTAGTTTTAGGTTAGACACTTGATCTTCAGCAAAACTTGAGTATTTCTTTCTTTGTCAAGTGTCTGGCGTGATATAGTTTGAATCGTTTAGAAAMYATCTACTTGCCTTCATTCCTTTTGGCCTTAATAATAGACCAGGATCCTTAGATTTGTACGTTGGTTTAGGCTTCAGAGAAAGTCTTAAATTGTACTCATCTAGCTCGCGCTGGAAGCGTTCACCCAGTGATCCCTCAGGACAAACAACCAATAAAATTAAACATCCAACTAAATAGGCAGCTATACARCCAACGACCATACCATTAAAAAATACTGGAAGATTAGAAATGAAGTATATGTAAAATAATAGAGTGCAGAATAGTAAAAATGTGAAAGATGGTTCATGTTGATCTTGTGTGCCTGAAGAAGTTGAAAGAGTTGGAGACTGGATCAGCTCGTGAGGTGCGGGTACTGAAACTGAAATGTCATGCGGAATATTATCGTCTTTTCCCGAGCTGTCTTCTTCCTCCTTCTCGWCGCATTCCGGTTCCTCGTGTTTTTCGTCTGTGGCTGCCGCGGCTAGAAGAGATGACAACGAAATCGCAGACGAAGTAACTGCTAATTTYTCGCTGATATTATTAGTGTTGTCATTGTTGGTTTGACGGTAGAGTCGGCGGAATGGCGAAGGAGATCGTGAACGACTTCCCTCTTTATCGTCGTCATTTCCTTTCGCGTGCAAGCTTAAACTTAAATGAGATCTAGACGGCTGGGATCCCGAGTCGGCTTCATCTTTACTATTATCTTCATCTTTGGGTTGGTCTTTCTTGAGATTTTGTGTTCCTTGATCGCGTCGTAGAAATCGCATACCTGTTGTGAGAGTGGAAGTGTTCTTGGCACTGGAGTTGATTTTTGAATTCCCTGGCCACGTTTGCTGTTTCACAATTGTCCTTTTCCCACCGACTCCTTGKTCTGTAACACCTATAAACTCGTTACTGTGTGCTGGTAGTAATGGACATGATCCCTCACCATGGTGTTGCGATGCATGCGTCACGACTTTATTTTCATCGATTATTTTGATGGGGAGCTTTTCATTCTCGCCCTCCTCTTGATTCGCAGATAATTTCTCTTCCTTCCGAACAATGCAGATCTCTTCTTCCGAATCTGAGTCTATATTCTTAGTTGATGAATTGTTATATCGTATTGATAATGATGCTAATGCAGACCGGAGTTTGCCAGGAGTGTTTACTGTCGATCCACCATTTCTTGTCTGACCAGCTGTGGGYAATGGAGGTCTCGGAGGAGGCTTCTTGCTACTCATCCCTCGTTCTGAATACTTGACAAAGATAATTTGTTAATATTTCAGCTCTGGCCAACCAAAATCGTTAGGCGTATGGGTGATAATTCGTTCAATTTGACGATTCCTCACGATTGGAACATCTTGCATGTGAGACAACTTCGATTGTTTTCATTATCTGCTAGTCAGCGGTTTAAACTRCAACCGGAAGTTGTAATTTCGCAATACACAGGCAGCCCAACCTTTTTACTTCTCAGCTTAAGCTCGAATATATTCTCTTCTTCAAAGTCACTGATGTCTATGCTGTCTACAGTTTTCAATTGATCATTATTATCGCGAGAATCATACTCGTTTGAGTATCTTATCACACTTAGTTTTGATTTCAATTATTTCAAAAATAACTTCATCAATTCAGGATTGTTATCAAAAAATACCATTCTTGATCCGGAAATATGCTGTAACCGTAACGAATATATATATGATAAGCAGTCTTCAAACACAAGAAAATAATTTATCAACTTTTCGATTGTATGGGCTCCCTTTGCCAGAAAGTGAAAACGAAGCAAATTTGACGTCACTAGTCCTAGTCTTCCGCTCGATKATGGCTTCGAATTTATTTTCAATTTGAGTTTCAGCATTTTGTATTCTACAGTACGTTCAATTCATTAATGATCTTGRTAGATTTCGGCAACAAAAATGTGGCGAATCATAGATAGAATACTATTTTATCTAGTGCTTGGGCTACTGGCGCTGATTCAGCCGTCTTTCTCCGATCATGAGGTAAAATCAACAACGCGTGCACTTGATGTCTGAGCTTCTTTGATTCTCAACCCTGCTTTGTTTAACCCTCTCAGCAGCCGAAAACTCTCAGTGTTCCTAAATCTTTCCTATTTGTATCTACTTTGGATGGAACACTGTATGCTGTACATAAGAATACAGGGGAAATACGCTGGTCCATGAAGGAAGGTAAAGTATGAAATTTGAAAAGCGTTACTATAGAGTAAAACTTGCTGACCTAAAATTTTGTACTGAGACTGTTTCGGTACATGTCGAAAAAAAGRTATTTTGAGAAGACAAGTCTTAAAAMAAATCACCTGTTTTTCATTGTGGCATTTAACGTGCTTAAACAGGAAAATGATCAGCAGTGAAAACAATATACTGTGCATTGAATTGAATCGTTATTGTAGAGACCATCATAGTAAACACGAATGCACGTGTGTATATGTTTCAAGTAGAAAATCACTTTTAAATTACTCAATAATCTTTTCTTACTTATCAGAAATCAATATTATAGGTTTGRAAAAAGTTTATTTTTCTTTACATCGCGATCGCTTTCTATGTTTTGTCTTTGTTGCMACAAGATTATTTTGTTATTTTTRGTGWTATTTATAAAATCCTAGCAAACGAAGTGTCGTTTTCTAAAGTGAATTACAACCCACGCAGGTCTCTTTGTTTCACGGTGTTAAAATTGGGTAATTCCTGAGTTTGGTTTTACTATAAGGAAGTATAATTCTTGCCAAAATTAGTCTCCTATTTGATTGGTTGGAGAGTGATGCAATCGATACCCCAAAGGCCATTTGATATGTGTTAACAATAGATTTAATATTCAATTGCTCAGTTTTCTAGAAGTTTACAGACACTATTTACACACCTGTGTAGGGACATTTTTCATATTGTGCTAATAATCAGTTTTCTTTCATCCATTTTGAAATRAAAATGAAATTCAATTAATTTGTGTCTTCTAGGTCTCTTTGGATAAAGGAAATTATATATTATCACTGATTGATTGATGAAATGAAATTTTATATGATATTCCACACTTAATTCTAGTTATTCTGTACCTAAAATTTGTCTGCATAAAGGCTAACTGTAAATCCATTGTACACGGTCTAAAATTATACTTTAATTGGTAAAGTACTATCAGCTTTGGAGTGTTTATTTCAGTTGTCTGTAAAGATATTAATGAATACTAATTCTTGGTAGTAAAAGCAAACAGGCAATCAATACATTGTCTTGTGACAGCTCTGTAAGCTTAGCCAAGATCTTAATATTCTYTTATGGACTTAGTATACATGTTATATAAAAATACATGTAAATGAATCTATATGACATTTAAAACAATTATTGAAACATAGAGCCATCAACCCTTCTGGACAAGGAAGGAGTCTCAAGTTTTTGGAGTGTATCCAATCCCAAGACTGAARAGTAAAATCTCATAGGTTTTAAAAKAAAATAAGAAAATTCATATGTAAATTSACAAAAAATCTGAYCCAATTACTGAGTTAATTTTTTTTTTACCGARTTAAATATATTACTGGTCTGTGCCATTTTTTGTGTGTTTCTTGTGTTGCTTTTGGTTGGGCATTTTCAAACACCTCAAGATGTGGGATGTATTGATTTCAAGGTATGATTGAATTGTGTGGGGTTGACAACTTTGAAAACAAGAAAAGGGACGACTTCAAACTGTGTTTAGTGGTTTTGAAAAGCCACATATGGAGAGAACCTAAATTTATAGTGTCAATATGTTTTTTGTGAGTTGCTGTTTTGTTATATAAAACAAAGTTTTAATTGATGTAGAATAATACTAATTATTCTAGTAAGGTTGCTATGTTGACTTTAAGATATATTATCAAACTGAAATAACACAAAATTAACTGGTTTCTAGGAGATTAATAGATGTACATGTAAATGAGAAAAGCCTTTTTGGATCCAAACTTAATTATATTAAAATAACTTTTTTAAAAAAGATTGGAGAAYCAAATATTTATAATAAAGGCTTCATTTAAAGTTTTTGACTTTGGATAAAATGACTTATATTTGGTACATATAGAATGCATGATAATAATATTGAAAAAATATCCCTAAAAAACATCCATTTGTCCCTCTTATGATACCATAAATTTCTAAGATTTATTTYGATTTTTTGATTCTGCAATGTTTTGGTAATATAAACRAAGCAGTTAGTACTTTTTCTAAAGGGATTGACCATSCAATGAAAAAAGGTGTATTTAATGGTTTTAGGCAGTGAAATATTTTAGTTCATATTTTTAACTCTTAATTATTGTTTGCCATTTTAGAGCCTGTTTTGACCACACCAATCTTTTTAAGACCTGGGTAAGTTGTTRCTGAATTCAATGTTTGGGTTATAATAATTAATGATGATTTTGATTATAAGTTGTCTTTAAATGATAATTATTATATGTTTTATTTTTTTTAATATGTAGAGCAATATTCATTCCTGACCCTAAAGATGGAAGTCTGTATGCTTTTGCTAGTGCTTTAGATGGACTCAAGGTAAATTTCACTTAATCTATGTAATCTTGCTACCGGYTTATAATTTATACCAAGTCATTTATTCATTTCTCAATTTATTTAATCATTCATTCATTCATTCATTGTAGTCATCCATTTATTTATTCATTTTTTTTTTCATTTTTTGCCATCATCAATTTATTAATGTTTCATCGATGTAGCAATTCATTCAATTGTCCCGATTTATTCATCTATCCTTTAACGTATTCATTGCTTTTCTTATTCATTTATTGTATATATTGAATATTATAATTTTGTTTAAATATCCATCCACTAACCCTAATTTGAATGTCCAGAAACTGCCATTTACAATTCCCGAATTAGTTCGTGCTTCACCTTGTCGCAGTACAGATGGTATTCTATATACAGGTATTGACATTACATGTCAATAATGAGTTATTTAGAAGATAGTTTAATACACCTTTTCAGTTGCACTTAGGCCTTGATAGCAAGTTAATTATTCTTTTGAATTTGACAAATGAGACTATTCAATGTTTGCACTACTCACATTCCTACAAATTCAAAAGATTATTTAACACGCTGTCGAGTCCTAAGAGCAACTGAAAAGGTGTATTTAGTTGCTTTATTTTGCCCTTGGCTTTAGATCCACCAGCTGAGACCACAGTAGTTTGACAATGTTTTCTTGTTTTTTTTTGTGTCTTGATTAATTCATTAAATGTTCTAGGCCGTAAAACAGATGTGTGGCATGCTATTGATCCTGACACTGGTATCAAGCAACAAACCCTCAGGCTTGATGGCACCGAGACTGTATGCCCAATAATGCCCAACAAAGCTGCCCCTATATTCTTTGGTCGCACAGGTATGGTACTTGTATGTAGGATAGTATGGATAAATTAAAGGGGCTAATTCCCTGCCAGGGAGGAGTGTGTGTGCTTTTTTTTTTGTTCTAGCATGGATTTACAATAAACCAAGATCAACCAATTTTGGAAATTATAAGAAAGTAATAATTTCTAGGGGAAAGTGATTTGCTAATATGTATGTTTTGTTCCATTTAGAGTATAAAATTACAATGTATGACAGTAAAACAAGGGAGAAAAGGTAGAAACTSTTCATTCTTATTCATTCGTTCATTCCTTTTATTCAAATGTCCATTTATCAATTCTCATCAATTCATTATTGATTCATTCATACATGCAATTAGTAGATTATGAGTCATTTATTTTTGAACATAAACCATTWACCTACAAAATAGAACTGTTCATTTTGAATACAAATCTATTCATTCATAATACCTTAATGTATTATTCCAATCAATAGGTGGAATGGCACCTTTAATGATTACTCCACTAATCTTGCRCAGGATGTGGAATATGGTAAAGTCTCTTATATATTATACTTTAAAATGAGATATCTGTCTATCCTTGTATTTTTTCTCGCCTAGTTAATCCTATTTTCATAGATTTTGTAAATTAAGACCTCAACCACCTTGCYCTTCATTGTTACTTGTAATTGAGGAATAACGTACTCTTTTAAGAGTAATATCTTTTTAAAGACATCGTGTATCTCACAAATGAACGTAATTTGTTTTGTAATGTACATGTCTACAGAAGCATGCTTAGCAATGGTTGTACATCGAGTTGTTTCAATCTTAATACAGTCAACTCTCGCCTTACAGACACCCCGCTACAATGCACACCTCGATATTGCGGACAGTAAAATACTAAATCCCCGGCGAAAAATACAAAGAAATGACTGAAAGTAACTCTTGTTRATATGGACTCTCGCTACTGCGGACACTAAATTACGGTCCCAAGGGTGTCCACAATAGCAAGAGTTGAGCGTATCTGTTCTTTCATTATTACTACAGAGTTCCATCATATGTGTTCATCTTCTGATGGTTTTACAGTTACAATGGCTGGGTCTACAGGTAATGAAGTCTAAAATGTTTCATTTAATAAATATATGATAAGTATTTATATTTGCCAAAATCCACCTGTTAGTCTGAGCAATAATGATAATAATAATAAGCAAGCAAGTACTTGTAGTCTGGGCACTGACAGTTGGTTGAAAGTGGCAGCAATTTTAGTAAAAAGAAGTCTTTTGTGTATGGTTTTCTACAATTCCAAATTATTTGAGTTAATCTATTAATATTAAATGTAAAATCTTTTTAAACCACTGCCAGGTACATAATTAGTATAATTATGTAGTATTCATTTTCTGGAGTAAAAGTTCTATTATCTTTTTATACAAAATTTGTTTACAATATTTATATTAAATGTTTTAGTAATTAGTATAAATTTCTTGAGTACTACATTTTGAACAAAAGTGTTGTGTTTTATCAGGTGAAATCCAGTGGACAAGAAACTTTGGTTCGCCTGTTGTTGGTATCTACAAGTTTGATGGCGATGGTCTTCATCGTGTCAAAGTGAACCACATTGCCAAGGAGACTCTKAACGTCCTGATTGCAAACAATGCATCATCAGAAAAGATGGTCTTACAGTAAGAGAGTCTTATATTCATTTTTTAATCTTTACTACGTATTATATTGTGCTGTTCAGACATATTTTTAATGGCTAATCTTTGGCCTTTTATATTAGTGTCCAACATCATTTTCATCCAGTTCAAGWATCTGATTTTTCATCTATTCATTCACTCACCCCTTTGGCTCTTAAACATCCATTTTTTCCATTTATTTTCCCATTTATTCATTTACATTTGTATCCACTTGTGCAACATTAATCTGCAAATTATTACTTTATGAATAAATGACTGTATGTTTTACCTTCATCAAGGCCAACTCTTTATATCGGAGAACATCCTGGAGGACTGTATGCTCTTCCATCACTTGTAGAAGAGGGCTCAACTCTTGTTGAGGTGAACTTCATGTCCTTTATAATATAATGGCATTTATGACATCACAGATGTTGTAGTGAAGCCCACTAAAATGAAGCCTAGTTGATTATTGTATAGTTATAGTAAAGAGTGCATGGATTATTAGTATTAACTGATATTAAAAATTATTACAATTAAGTAACTAATTGGCTATCTGTATTTAAGGCCAAAGTKATGCTTCTCGATGGACCAACTGGACAAATTCCTGTCCCTAAACCCAGCAAAACAACACAGCCAGGACCATCCTCTAAAGATACCAAAGATGTTCCMAAACCACGCCGTCCACTACAACAACCCAAAGTACTAGAACCCAARGCAGCCTTACTCCTTGGCCATCACCACGTTCCAGTTGTAGCATCACCACAGCTACACATGACTCATATTCCTGATAAATTAATGCCGATCTATATGAACTCTCATGAACATCAAGCTGCAACCATCAATAAAAGAATCGACAATACCAGAGCCAAGGAAGACGAGAGAAAACGCCAACAAGAAATGTTTGAAATGCTCAAAATTCACCAGAAGCTTCTATATACRATTATTGCCACCATTGGGATCCCTGTGGTATTGCTAGTTGTGTTTTACATTGAGGTGGGTTGTGGGTAAATTGTAAACTGAGCCTCCTCCGCAGGCCTTACTCTGAGGAAAGAAGAGTTACTTGCAGAGGAGGACACATACTTATTTATGTATATTTGAGTTTATCAAAGCTTTCCTGATGAATCATGGGATACCTGAGTTTTCCCACCTGTTGTATGTCATACTTCTAGTCTTGCAAAGTGTCAAGGGAAGGCTAAAAAAGATATTCTTTACCACCACCAAAAAAAATCATTTGAAAGTTTCGTCTGACCAGAATTAGGAGAGGAAACACCTCTTCTAACTCTGACCTGACTAGGGGAATTAATTAAAGTACAATGTTTCAAGATCATTCTTAAGGCCCGTTTACACTTGCGATTTTTGCAGAGCGATTCTCGCGGCGATCGTCGCGCGACCAAATTCACGGCGATTTTCTATCGTCTGTTTACACGTAGGATTTTAATTGCGCGATAGCAAAGTGGCGATTATCGCGCTGCAAAAATCGCAAATGTAAACGGGCATTTACATGAACATGTCTTGGTTTTTGTAGAGGTCTACAAGACATCCAGCTGTTGTGTCATCTCAAACTGCATCCCAAGGTTCAGTACATTCTTCAACAATGTCTAATGGGAGCGTTCACCATACTGATCCTGGAGCTAACCTTAGTAAGTAWTTGCCGCTTGGTTACCATGTCAACAATGTGACAAGTGCTGAAGATTCAGTGACTTGAGAAAAATGTGACATTTGTTGCCAATTGAATGGTTAAATGAAAGTGTTGTCATTACAATTTGACTTTTTTAGATCATAATAGTACTATTTGTGTTGGGAAAATAACGTTCTGTCTCAAAGACGTTCTTGGTCGTGGATGCGAAGGAACTGTTGTATATAGGTATGTGATTCATTGTCATGGCTTGTTATGAACAATTATTTGATATTTCATGATAATTATTGTCTTAGATATGATTACATTGTTTTGATTAGGGGATCATTTGATGGTCGTGATGTGGCAGTGAAGAGGATTTTGCCAGAATGCTTCAGTTTTGCCGATAGAGAGGTAATAATGAACTGATTGATTGATTATTTGACTTAGATTTAGTGGCTGATTGATTGATTGATAGATTCGTTGATTGACKGACGGTTTGATTGATTGACTGGGTGATTGATTGATAGATTGATTGATTGATTCATAGAWTATGGCTGGTTATGTTGTTGATCAACTATAACTTAGACATTTGGTATTTTCAGGTGGCATTGCTACGAGAATCAGATGCTCATCCTCATGTCATTAGGTAYTTCTGTATGGTAAGTTTTCTAAAAGACATACTCATGTATATCATTGAAGGTCAGTGCATTCCAACATCAATCAATCCTTTTGTTACAGGAGGAAGACCATCAGTTTCGATACATTGCTCTTGAGCTGTGCGAAGCCACCTTACAAGATGTAAGTTCGTATACATAACATAAAAACAGTCAATCGTAACTGTATTAGATACATTTCCAACCAATCAGAAAATGCTTTTTATAGAGGTTTTGCGTCTTCGGTTGAGCAGCTTCTTCTTAACATCGAACAGCCAATCGTAAACTCTATTAAATACGTTTACAGCCAATCAGAATTAGCGTTATCTAGTTTTTCTTTTCACTGGAGAGCTCTGCGCTGTGTTTAATGGGATGTCATCATATTTTTACAGTTCGTTGAAGACCCAAGGTTTGATCGACATGGTCTGACTCATATTGAAGTGCTAGAACAAGCAACGGCAGGTTTAGACCATCTACACTCTCTGAATATCGGTATGTTGATAWTAAGCAATATCTGGACACTGTGTAAAACTGTACTGCACAGCCACCACAGCGTAATATCACAAGAMAACCAGCAATTTACTTYCGTTTCGTTYCGTTTCAGTCCATCGTGACGTCAAGCCTCATAATGTCCTGATATCAAAGGCTAATGCCARTGGTAGAATCAAAGCAATGATATCAGACTTTGGTCTTTGTAAGAAACTATCGTAYGGTCGTAATTCCATCACTTGTCAATCAGGAGCCATTGGAACTGATGGCTGGATTGCACCTGAAATGTTCAAAGATGAGCACAAGATGGTAAGTGTCGTGTTTTYCTATGTTCAATGCACCCAAACTATCCTGGGCCGAGACATGGGATATTTTTTTACTCGTGGTCCCGTTTTTTGTTGATCAAAATAATCCCTGATCCTAAAATTGTTCAAATTTGATCCCTGATCCCACAAAATTATAGTGATCTCATGCGTTCATTTTTGCAAGTTTTTCAGGCCGAAGTCAGTKCTTTTGATAAAGCAAAAATTCTGATCCCTGATCCCACTTCCCATGTCWMGACACTGAAACTATCACATATCCGGCTTTTTGACTGAAATTTTAATCAAATTAACGTACCCAGACTCTTTTCATCTTCAAATTGCTACGATAGGCCGCTAGAGTAGGGTCTGGGTACGAGAATGAGCCATGACGTTTTTTTTTTTGTTTTTCATTTCAGAATCGTTCGGTTGATATTTTCTCGTGTGGCTGTGTTTTTTATTACGTTCTGTCTGGTGGTATTCACCCGTTTGGGGATCAGTACAGAAGACAAGCGAACATCATTGCCGGAGATTATAATATAGACAGACTACCCAATGCAGAAAGTAAGACCGCACTTAATGTTGTTTTTCAAAAGATTTTCCACGTAACCCCCAAGCACTGGACTTGGTAGGCTTTCAATGAGAAAACGAACATTTCGATCAAAGTGGTAAAACTCAATAAAATTACTTCAAACTAGAACATAGTGTTGACTGTAATATATTATGAGTAGGGGAAATGTTACTATAATCAGCTGAAACTTCTCAGAGGTGTTGAGAAGAACACGTGCCAAGTCCAGTGCTCGGGCTACCTGTGGATTTTCTTATAATACCGTTGTGTCGTTTGTGCATGATGCCATACGAGAAGACTAGCTATCGGACTTTTTATATTGAATATTTTTGTGTATCTTTATTTCTATAATTATTTTTTGTTTTATAGATCAATTTGTTGCGCGAGAGCTTATAAAAAGTATGCTGAATCAGAATTCAACAGAAAGGTACCATTTTAYAGTGCTATTTTAGCTGAAAATCGTTTCTTTGACCAAATGGACAGGGAAGTATGGTTAAACCTTTGACGATTTTCTTGTTTACAGGCCAAATACTCAAGCATTACTTAAACATCCCATATTTTGGAGTAAAGAAAGGCAATTAGCGTTTTACCAAGTAAGAAAGAAAACAAAATATTAAAAATACGCAAATTGCAAGAAGTCATACCATTTGAATTCGTGAACTATACACCCTTTTAATAAGTCCCGAGGTATTACGTTCTCCGCACTTGACGTCAAATTTATTCTTTTGAATTCCTTTTGTACTGTAAAAATTTCAAAGAATAAATTTGACGTCAAGTGCGGAAAAAACAATACCTCGGGACTTATTAAAAGGGTGTATACTCAGCATTGTGGTTTATTCTCAAGGATGTCAGCGATAGAATAGAGAAAGAGCCAGACGACTCACCAGTTTTAGATGCTCTTCAGCGAGATTCCATACCAGTTGTACGAGGAGATTGGAAGGTTCATATAGGAGCAGAATTACAAGATGGTATGTCTACAAAAATGGTGGCCACTTCTCCATTTTCAATGTGACATGGATGTTTGATGTAGAGAATATGGGTTCAACTACAAAATTTTAATCAGTACTTACATTTTATGTATAATAGCAAAATTATTGGCAGAACTACTTCACCTTGCTATAATGTKCTAATGCTTTTTGGTTTTCTCTTTTTCCAGATTTGCGTAAATTTAGAACATATAAGGGAACRCATGTAAGAGATCTGCTAAGAGCCATGCGAAATAAGGTGCGGTACTTAGTTGAAAACGTACCATTGGATAAAATGTGTTTTCCACAACAGTTTAAAACTTCTTCGTTTTCACTCAAATCCTCTGCTCGAACTGTGAATTCTTTCTTTTATTTTGTTTTCGTTCTGTTCAGGTTTCAAGCAGTTAATCTAAATATTTCTGTATACATATATATTTTTCTGTATACATAACTTTCATTTCATTCGTGTGCTTATCGTTTCAGAAACATCATTACCGAGAGCTTCCCGAGTACGTCCAACGGTCTCTCGGCTCACTCCCGGACGGGTACGTTGATTACTTCAACAGTCGGTTCCCGAAGCTGCTTATGCACACGTACACCATCATGACAATGTGTCGCGAAGAGACATTATTCAAGTCCTACTACCCAAACCCGGACACGTGACCAAATGGCTGGTTGCCATAGTGATAAGGTGATGTCATAAGCTTACCGATTCGCGCCGGTCACGGCTGCCATTCGTAACCAGTCCTCCTCAAGAGAGATAGGGAGAACTACCGAATTGTTCACGCCACAAGAAGGAAATTGAGAATTTAGAATCTGGTTATGTATATAGATGTAAATAGGGAACCAGGTTTTTTTTTTGAGTATTACATAGAGAGCATGGAATAGCTTTGACTAAATGGACAATCAACTCTCCTTCTCGTGGACCCCTATTATGGACCGTCCATTATAGCTGACTTGAAGCGATAAATCTCCGACCAACAAACAGTAAAACGCAAATAAATATTCAAATTATTGAAAATAGTTACTGTTATTACGRACTACGGCTTATACGGACACTTAATTGCGGTCCCAAAGGTGTCCACGATAGCTAGGTTTGACTGAGTACTCGACCGTCGGCTTTCTYTTTTGCGTATGACTACAAGCTATGTTGTTTTGGCTATTTGAACGTTCCCAAACACGTACCGTTCGAGTGAGTATGTGCTGTATCCGATTGTACCACTGCTGTCGTCTTTATTAATTTGTAGTAGTTTATTATTGCCATATTTCTTAGCTTTTCTTTTAAGCTTTCCTGTATTTTTGTTACTATTATTTATTTCATGCTGTACTTTTTGTGTTATTTATTCGCTTGAGTTCAGTGTGCGTTTGATTTTAGTTTGGAAGTTTGTTTGTGTTTGCATAATGTTCGCGTGTTTATTTTATTTTATTTATTTTTTGCTATATACCGATTTTACAAGCGACATCTATGTTATCGGAAAATGCATACTTGATCCAAGGACCTTTCGGGAACAAAGTGAAAAGGGGCTGGAAACGACGTTACGAAGAGCGATTGGAATTGTGGGTATTTAACAAGTAGCAAACGACACTTGGACATAAAGTTTTCTGAACTTTTCTCATCTTAAGAGCGTTCTACTAGAGCGGATTTCGTATGACTGTGCAAAAAAGCACGGTACGTTCGTGCTGTGTCCGTACCGTGTCTGTGTTGTGATCCGTGCTTTTGCACAGTCATGCGAAATCCGCTCTATTAGGCATGTTTTACCAATTTGGTGAGCGTCCACAATTCCTTTCGATCCCATAACGATCATTTTCACTCATTTCTATTTTCACTATGACGTCATAAACTGCAAAAACCAGAATGCTTTGCCTTCTTTCTTGTAAAAACGTTATGTTATTTTGCCAAAATTTATATAGTGTACATGTAGTAATTGAGTTTTGCTATCTCTTTCACAGTGTGTTAGCCCGATTGTGTAAAATGTACAGAAATTTGGATAAAACTCGTGAGATTTCAAAATATTCATTGACTTCTATACTTAACAGATCTCTCGCATTTGCGCGGCTCTAAGTTACAGAATGAAAGATTATTATATTACATGGTTTTGAGGCTAAAACAGTGTAAAAGAGATCGATAAAAGGGTTTTAGATAAACCAAATGTATATGAATCTAAATGCAATGTGCTTAAAAGTTAATGACAACAGTACAATACAATAGAGCGTGGAACAATGAAATTCAACCCTAAAAAATCATATTTTTAATAAAAATGAAAACAATGAAGATTTGAAACAAAAGAGATCATATTTATGCATTTTAGCATATTATAGTGTAAGGTATATTTATAAAGCAATTTCGCTTTTAAAGCGAATACTATATATTGGAGGTTTTCTGTAGTCGCGCAAGAGCATCATTCCTGTAGATTAAAAGTATTCGTTTTCCTCGAAAACTTGTATTCTTTCTAAGTTCTTCCATTATCTARAAAATGGCGGCTGTCACGTGACCTCTCCAAAAGAACTCATACATAATTTTTATGAAATCTTAAATATCTCCATACAATTTACAACCAAAGGGCAAATTCTTTGTAGGAATAGAATAATAATGTTATAATGATATTAAATAAATGCTAATAGTTTTAAACGGTTTAGTTGCCTAAAATCTTTTGTGTCACTCCCATCAGACTGCGTAGCGGCCGTAGTGGACTGGGACGTCCTCCTCAGTCCCCGCTCTGCCCTCATCAGCCCCTCCCGGAACGCTTTCAAGATGGCTCGTAATAAATTAAACTAGCTAAGCTGATCAAAWTWRKTTTTTTAAATGACACTGTCTTTTTAYATCGCTGAACAAAGCAATTAYCTAAACTGCTTCAYTGGCATAAAATTAAGAGTCCCATGGCATTCACAAGTCCAGCATCTGAAATAATTTATTGTGTCAGTTTACAATGGTGTTTCCAGTTTGTANCGTTACAAAGACCTAAGTATTCCAGGGTTTTGATTCGTCCAATCTCTGGCAAAATTATTTGTAATCCTTCCTTAGTAAGAAGGGGACACCACCCCATTTCTAAATACTTGATTTTTGTGTTTCTCCAATAAACCTGCTGTAAATATTCTTCTTGTACACTTGTACCATCGAGAATGAGTGTTTCCAAACAAGACGAACTTTCCAGTAACACGGGCAAAAATTCACCAGATATATTGAAGCACTTTCTAAGATTGAGCAGTCTTAGCTTAGGGCATACGCCCAACTTCATGATGAAAGAATCCTTGACTAATTTACAATGTGACAAGTCAATTTTAACTAAGTTCGGTAGTAGCGGTGTTGGTTGACTTGACATGGCGAGAACAAGAGCATCACACAGCCCTGAAAAGAAAGGTTATCAAGTATTACTCTGTGAGAAAATTAAGTAGATTGTCGATGCGTGACGTAAAGGGACTCTCCTCGCTGGGCTGRGTAATGAACCAAATTTGCAAATTTTATTATAATTACGTATATAGCTATTTCAGAAGAGGTTGTCGGATAAAATGGCGATTGTCAGTATGGTCGAGCGGCGATTACACGACCGAAAGTAGCCATGGGTTTTGCTAATTGAAAGGCACAGGCAACTCGTTTTTCCTCCTTTGGGCTTCCTTTGTAACGGTCATAATGGCCGTTAGGGACTAGTGACGAGATAGGAAAAAAAGAGAGGAGGAGTTGCATCACACCCTCCCCTWTTCTCGCCACCATTCTCCCTCTTTTGACTCCTCAAAAAGACAGGAAGCCCGTGATTCTTAGTGATGACTGCGGAGGAGGCTATGACTTCTACTGAAAGATGCCGATGGCCAGTGGTGGTGAACATTGGCTCCATTTAGTCTCCATTTCTATATACGGTGAATCCAATCAGTGAAAATTTGTTTATCAAAACAGTGTAACCATAGTCCCTTTCGGTCATGCAATCTCTCTTCGACAATCGCCGCGTTCTCTGTTCTCCCCCTGACAAAGTTTTTTGAAATAGCTGTATGCTCAAAGGCATAATTAAAACTCCGAGTGCCTTTCGGCTGAAGCTAACCATCTCGGAACCGCTCGGAGACCCTGATTTTTGATTTTGATCGAAGGACTTCGGGAGTTAACAATTGAAATGGCAGATTTGCGATTCTTTCTSTGAGCATTCGTAATGTATTAAACAACTATACCACGAAGTCGAGTGGACTAGTAGTTCAAAGGCCGAATGGACTATCAGCTAGTATTTCACGAGAACAAGTGGTGCTTTCGCTTTATGCGCCCTGGGTGACAACATAAATAGACCATAGTTCAGTAGCCAATCAGAAATATCATGGACCATTTTGAAAGTAAGTCCATAGTTTGGTGAATATTTTAAATTTGAAATTCCTACTGAACAATTCATTAAGATTTTAAAATTAAAATTTAACTATCGATTGAAAAAACATTTCAACATCAACCGACTATCGCCTTATCGATTGATAATGATAAGAATGATTGACCGATATCGCTGATGTCAAACCACTTAAACCGCAGCTGTATGTGGAGAGCAGTCGATAACAGATTATCGATATTGAATGATACATTAGTCTAGATATCGATTTATTCATATTTTTCTAGCAAGTTATTTTACATAATTTACATACCCAACCATTTGATGTTTTCGAGTCGTTTTGCTATCGCTTCATAAACAACCGCCGGACCATCTGAGTAACGCAAGTCTAGATGCTCCAATCCGTCCGGAAAAATTACGTCTTGATAAATCTCCTTCTTCTCCAAGGTGAACGTCACAGACTTGACGACAAGCCTTTTAAGGCCACGGCAATGCAAAGCCAATGTTGCAACAACTTCTTGAGGTAGAGTRAAGCCGCTAATGTTCAAGGCAATGACTTTGTTAGCTAAATAAGATTGCGTTACATCAGCTAATTTTTCTCTGGTGTGCAGTGTCTTTGAAAACTCACTCAAGTCAACACTTTTCCAAAGAAATCTATCGAACGAGAGTTGATACCATTTCCTGCAGACCTCCGATGCGCGAATTAAGTCAGTTACTGGTAAATATTGGAATATCTTTAGTAAGATAGCATCGTGCAATGCGGTGATCGGCACTTGATCTAAGGTAGCCACATCTCGATGAAAAGGCAGTACCCTTGAAATTCGCTTGAATAGTTTTCTGTATATCGCAATTATATCCATATTTTTGATTCAACTCCTCTCRTGAAGGTCATATTGTCAGCCGGCGTATTTATAATCGTGTTGTTCCACGGAGACACCCAAGTGTGTACATGCACTGCACACGTGCACACGTGAATATATTGACCTTTGGTTGTATATAAAACTCCCCATATTACAGCAATATGCAGAAATTATGAGATTTTTTACTCATGTCATGTTCAAGTGAATAAAAAATGTATCAGAAATTATGCGGGATATCATCGCCAATAGTTTTTCAGAAAGTACWAATGCTAGATAACTTCAAAAAAAATATTGGCGATGATATCCCATAATTTCTGATGCATTTTATATGTACTTGGAATATGAGTGAAAATGATCATAATTCTGCATATTTCTCTTTTTGAGTAATAAGTTATTTTGTATAACTTGTCCTCCGTCGACGATGAAAACTGAGAGTGTGAAAAAAATCCGAACAAAAACAGCAAAAAAGACGTGTATCAAGAGCTTGTATCACAAGTTTACAATTGGAGCGCTTGTTAGGGGGTTATATATACCATTAGAAAAGCCCGGATGGGGATCACACTTACCAAATTAGAAAATCTACACAGAAAATTAGGCCGATAAACAACACTACACGTGATTAGGTTCAAAATAGCTCGTAAYAAACTAARCTAAGCTGGTCAAAATAGTTTTTCAACTAAAACTGACTATCTTTTTTTAGTATTAACATACTAATGGTCTATCACTCATACTGCGCTGTGATTGGCTACTCTACTAATGGTCTAATTTGTGATAGACCACTCGCGGGAAAATCAAAATAAATAAATTATAAATCATTTTAAGGATATTTCATTTTTTTCATTATTTGACCGATTAGTATGTTTTATACTAAAACAATTAGACCTCTCGGCCTCGTGGACTACGACTGAGCTAATAGCCCATTCGGCATCGCGGACTCGGCCTCATGGGCTATTAGCTCGTAGTCCACTCGACCTCGAGGTCTAATTGTTAAATATCGCTGAACAAAGCAAATATCTAAATTGCTTCATTGGCATAAAATTAAGAGTCTCATGGCATT